ATATTTTTTAGAACTTAAATGAGAACGGACTCCATGAGCATTTAAAATGATTACGTATCGAAAATGATTTGATATGATTAAGGGGATTTGAATATATGTTTGAACAAGCCTTTTGTTTGTGGTTTAATATGCAATTATAGATTTAAATGTTAATTTACTTTAGACTAATACTAGTTGGATACATGTGTTACGCTGCAAATAGACAATCGTTACATACATAGGGTTAACGATTCGTATGGTGTAATGTGAGTAAAAAGTTTTATTTTGATAATTAATATCAATCGAATCTATATATAGTTAATTTCTAACTATACATATATAATTGATTCCGATAAATTCTGAATAAATATATATAACAAAGCAAATAAAACTTGTGAATTTTTTTAACTCATTATCATTAAAAAAATAATTGAGTCAAACTATCTAAAACATACTTTTAGCTCTCTCTCTCTCTCTCTCTCTCTCTCTCTCATATATATATCTATCATATATATATATATATATATATTAAAAAATAAATCACATTTAAAATTTAAAAATAATTTATTATAGAAATTATAATAATATATCTTTTAAAAATAAAACATTGAATTTGAAAATTTTATTTCAAAATTCATACAATAAAAAACCAAATTTATTAACAAATAAAATTATATCAAAAAATTAAAAAATTAATTTAATGAGAATTTTAATAAGAAACAACTAATTGAAGAAATAAATTTTAAACAATAAGAATAAAATAATCGGATTTGTATGTTAACATTAACATCAAAGATATAATTAATATTGGTTCGGGGACATTGAATGGACCAATAATGTATATGTTTTCTTTTCCACTCGAAAGGACCAATTATATATGATTGCTTAACTTGTACAAGCACTTGCTCGGAGGTCCAGTTATGCTTAAGGGTTTTCTTTTGCCTCTTGGTAATACAATCCTAAAACACATCAACATTTAAAATAATTAGCTAACCTTTTTTTTTTTTTTTGTTACATCATGAGATTGCACTGGTTGGCCTATGCGGCCGATAGAGGCTAGCATGCTTGGGCCTACGAGCCAAGCTGGGGCCTCTTAGGCCCGCTTCTCTAGGCCTCGATTCGTCGTTCAATTGAAAAAAAAATATATAACTTTCGATGAACTCTAGCTTTTTGAAATTTTCATCGAAAATTCACGGATCTAGTTTTAGACCCTAAGAAACTCAATTTTTTTTTATTTTTCCTAGACACCTCCAATCGACTAAAAGAAAGCAAAAAAAATAAAAAATAAAAAATAAAAATAAAAATAAATAAATAAATCATTTTAATGCACATTAAAAAAAATAAATAATCAAATCAGATTTTTTTCTTCTTTTTTGTCTTTAATCTACCTCCTCCAATTATTTGATGGCTTGAAATCACCATAGAAAAACTCATCATTCAAAAATATCAAGGACCACAATATTAAAAAATTATAATCTATAGTAAGTGAACAATAGCCACTATTCAAATACCCCGGTTCTTTAATTTTCTTTATAATAAAAAATTTAATTTTTTTAACTAATTATTAATTTTTTTAAAAAAAATGAGTCAAATTAATTTTTAACTGATTATTATTTTTTTAAAAAAAATTGAGTCACATTATCTAAAACACATTTTTAGCTCTCTCTTCCTCATCGGAATTTATATGTGAAATTATGCTACTTTAATTTAAAAATTATAAAATAATCAATCGTATAAATTATAATAATATATTTTAAAAAATCAAACAATCAAGTTCTAAAATTTTATTTCAAAATTCATATATAAAAAATCAAATTTATTAATAAATAAAATTATATAAAATTAAAAAATTAATTCGATGAGAATTTTAATAAGAAACAAACAATTGAAGAAATAAATTTAAAACAATAAAAATAAATAATCGGATATACATGTTTAAACTAAAATTTTAAAAAATATTATATATATTCTATTACCATCAAACTGTTCGTAAAACTAAAAAAAAAAAAACGATCTTTTTTTATATTTTCACACGTAATTTTATGATAAAAAAATATAATAATAAATTATTAGAAGAAAAAAAGAAGACAAATGTTGGTTGGGATCGCTTATGCGAGCTCGTGAGCTAGGCCGGGCATGCTCGAGCCCGCTTCGATGATCGGCCCCTCCCCTTACCAAAAAAAAAATACAAAAAAAAAAAAAAAACGAAGGAAATGCTTCTCCATGCCAATCCTTAAAAAAAAAAAAAATACTACATTAAAGTGAGCCAAGCCGATTGCTTGGAGCCTCGCTTCTCCAAGCCGACATTAAAAAAAAAAAAAAAAAAAACGTTACGGTAAATGAATAGAAAAAACCTCAATTTTTTTAGTTTTTTTTATAGTAATAATTATCAAAGTTTTCTTATATATATATATATATATGTCCGAACTAAACACGATAAATAAAATATAAAAAAAAATTCTTTTTTATTTTTATAGTAATTTTTTTCTATTTTATTTTTTAATAGATTATCATATACCCAACAAATTGCATGTATGCAACAAATTTTTTTTAGAAATTCACAACCTTCTATATTCTAGATTTGTTAGTCACTTGTGCTTGATCCTTACGAGTTTTTATTTATTAAAACCCCCTCGAGAAACTTGAGATGAAACTTCCATTATTCAAAACCAAAACTATGATACTCTTGTAAGGTTAAGCAAATTAACCATGGCAATTTCATTAATCACCATTAACCGAGTGCAGTATAACCCTTTCAACTAATATGTAAGATTTGAAAATGAATACCCAAAAAGTTAGAAAAAAATACAAAAATATCATTGCAAAAAATAACAAAAATGCCACATTGTGAACAATGAACAAAGGCAAATGACCAGTATTTACAGTTCATTTGCCCCGGTTCTTTTAGTTTTTTAAGGTTGTTTGATTATTCGTATAATTATTGTTAATGTTTATTTGATATTAAATTGCACTATCAATCCGATTTTAAGCATGCATGGCATTTGATATATTGGAATTGAATATTTTGGAATATGTATTAGCTTATATGATTTTCAATATGATTTGGTTATCTTAGAGTACCTAGCTACGGAAGGCGTAGCCTTTAAACTCAATGATACATTAAACTCTAGCTAGCAAGAGAGGTATAATGCTAACTCGTGTGTCGGCCAACATATAGAAACCTAGTCACGAAAGATGTGACCTTTAAGTGTTCGCATTTAATAATACGTTATGTTTTTACTCCATGTGTAATAAAAGCCGAGATATATGATACACACACACACACACATTTGGTATTTATGATATGCATTTAGTTTGGAGAAATACGCATTGCATCTTGAGATGAATTTTAAGTTATCATCCTTAGTCCGTTTTCTTTTCTTATTATGTTATATAGTGTCTATTCATTGAATCATTGATTTGATCACCCTCCACTATTTCAATCTTGTAGGGTTCGTGAGAATGCCCTTTTAGCTTCCACTCGACTACTTACCTTGAAATCGGCACATTGATCGTGCGGCTTATTTACTTATAATCTCTTGAACTTATATTTGATTTTGTTGTAATTCTTAGAAGCTCTGCAATTCTATCTTGTGAGAGTCGTGTTAGATTTGATTACGGATATTATTTGAGAAATACAAAAGTACTATAGAATTATCATTTGTGTTGAAGTTATAAAATAGTTATCAAGTTGGGACATTGTAAATTGAAATGATGTTTGATGTGCTAAAGGTATAAGGATTTAAGTTTTGATATTCGAGGTTTACTTGAGTTAATATGGGCCTCATAGTTTTCTCGATTCTTGCCCCGATCATAGCTTACTTTGAAAGTCGTGACAACATTATTTGAAATCCACTTAAAATTAAAAATCCATGCTTCAATCCACCATAGAACTTTGATCGAAACTTCAACCGATGCAAACAAATAACAAAAAACTAACATGTTGAGGACAATAAACCAAATAATACCATAGGTTTTAGATCATATAGATCTAAATCCCTAATTATTTCAACTATTGTAAACATCATATCTAACACCTAGATTTGGAATTATTAAGAAATAGAGAAAAGTAAAAGAGAAGAAAAAATGATTGCAAGGAATTATAAGGAAAATAAAGAAATGTTAAAGGAGGGTGAAAAAAAGAGTGAAAGAGGAAGGGATTACTATCGATAATTATCTTATTTGTGGTAGCCTAAAAATGGTGTTTTTGAAAGAGGGTTTATACAAAAAAACCCCATACTTCCCAAGTTCTTAAGATTGATGATATGTTATTTGTATAAGAAATTAAGAAATTAACTTTAAAAATGTTTATTTATTTATTTATTTTTGTCCTCATGAAATTGATTATATGTTATTTTCCTTTTATTATTGTTGTACTTGTTGTTCCAAAACACTTCTCTTCCCTTCCCTTCAAGTAGGGATTTTCAAAGTTTTATAAAAGGCATTCACGGTCGTCCTTTGCAAACATATCACAAGTTGTTAAATAATCATCTCTTACTTAAAGACTTAAAAACTTAAACTATTACATGAAACTTCAATATATAATTTATATTATTTTTTAACAAACCCTCTCAAATGAAAGCCATTTAGACTTAAAATGTGCATAGATCCACATTATTTTATGCTTAATTAATTAAAAAATAATGAGAATTTTAATATTCGAATTCACGATCGTTAAATCGTCAAGATTCGATATCATGTAAAAAAAACTATTTCAATCTCAAAATTTAAACTATTAAGTAAGACTATAAAATATAATTTATATTATTATCTAACACAAGTAATAAACCTAAAAGCAAAGGATCAAGAAGGAAAAAAAAAAAAAAGAACATATAATAGTTGCAAGATCAAGAAACTGTTGACCATGTGTAAGAAAGGATCTTCGTCGCATTCAACTGTATTGTCATGCGGGTTGATCTTGCTTTGAATGAATCATGTTGGCCGTGAAGTGGAACAAAAGAGGAAATGCAAACTAGTTTACCAGCCATACTCCAGAAATAAGTAAAAGCATGTTAAGCTTTTTATTCGGTCATATATGAACAGGGTAAGCATGGGCCATACAAATTGGAGTTTGCTGCTTCATTCGGAATATCGTCAGTCCTGAACATATCAAGAACATGGACATCAAATTTGCCTGAAACATTGGGTACTGGTCAGGAGTCCAACCGAATCTTAAAGAAACTTCATTTTGAAGCAATTAGCTCCTATCAAATGATCTCTTGCACTTGACTTCAGAATATTAAACTCCCAATCGATGGCCTCCTCGTCTCATTGCAAATTTCAGGACACGTACTAATCTTGTCAACAGTATTATGTCCTATATCATTTTTAAGAGTGCTACACAGAAGATCCACTTTCTAAAACATTTATTTCAGAAACAAAATTTTAAAAAACAGCATTTTCTGTCCAGAGCGCAATTTCTTTTTCACTCTTCCCAAGCATATCGAACTCTTAACTCACCTGGTTATGTACTGAATCTCTGCATGTGCTCTCAACCATTCAAGCACTTTTGCTCCCTCTAGTATCTCTTGCACCTATGCAAATGCAATTGTACCAGTAAAGTCAACATGCTAACCCAAGAAGTAGCTTGAACCATGCAGAATTAGTTTTAATTTGTAAAGTACATAGCCTCTGTCCCCAGATGGAGAATGGAACACAAGGTCTAGACATCCTTTAAACAAAAAGCAAATTTCCACCGGACCAGAAATGAGAGCCACCATCAACCATGGTATTCGTAGCACAATGGAACCCATCCCAGAAAGTAAACTGAAGCTGTAAGCTCTGGTTTTGAGCTTTGACAATGCTGAGGCCATTTCTGACTTATGAAAAACATGTTTTATGCAATTCTTCTAGTCTCTTTTATTTCAACAAATTTCAGACCCAAATAAACAGCCATATTCAAACATTTTCAGAAGTACAGTGGAAAAGAGAAAGCAGAATGCTCCAATTCTCGATGAGGGTGGAATTTACTGACCTGTTCCTTCACACGCTCCTCATCATACTCTTGTCTATGTAGTTTAAATTCAGCAATGGAGTTCTCAACCTCTTTGACAAGATCTTCTGTAGAAAACTGAAGCAAAATGGAGTAAATGCGAATATTTAGTAACTTTCCAAGAGCTAACATTTAAAAGGTTGGTCCAATCAGGTGAAATTGACTCAGCTTATGCCAACTCAATGTTTCAACAAATTTCTAAAGAAAAGCAGGGTAAGATTGGGCTAAACGAACTTGTGTAAATGATGGAGGAGAAAATCTCAACTAAAAAGACACCTGCAAATTTTCGCGTTTGAATATATCTCCTACTGCCAGATTTTGTTTTATCACCCTTGTTATGTTCTCCTTTTGGTTTTCAAGGAACTCATTAACTGCCTTTAGACTTGATAGAGAAGCCAGCTGCTGTTCATTTAATTTCATATTCGCCTGCACAAACGTTATATGATTAGGTTAGCACCCTCTCACACAATAGGAAATGTTGAACTGAAAGAATCTAGCTGCTGTTCATATGTGCCACTTGCCAGCACCAATGTGATATGATAACTGGTATGCCCTCACACACAGACCCGAAACAAAAACACACCCAGGATAAATAAATAACTAGCATTCTGTGTTAGAACCAACCTGAATCTGAAGAATTTTGGCTCCATAAAGCTGTCTACCTTGTTCCTCAAACAAGGATTGAGGAACATCAATCTCCACCATCTGAAAGTATGATAAAACATCCAAAAAATTATAAGCCAGTTAGTCGAGTGACATGTTGAATCTATGAAACATCATCAGTTGCAGATAATGCAAACAGGGGGGACTCTAGGAAAATCGAAAAACTCTACAGCAAAAAGTCTACCTTATGCAAAGATAAGTACCACGTAAAGCAAATTCATGGTAAAGAAAACAACCATAGATCTCAAGGGGGAAACAACAATCTACAAATCACTATTTCAGAACACAAAAAAACCTTGCAAAGCTGGTCGAGAATTGCATTATCGGTTGCTTGTTCTCTTGCTGTTTGCTCCACTTCTAGGAACTTTTGTAACAGTGATTCCTTGACCTGCAAATTTGCAGGGAAAAATATCTTAGTTATGAGCTATATGAAAAAATCTGAATCTAGAACTGTGTCAAGATTGCATGCAAGTATTACCTGCTGCAAGGTGGTGCACCCAGGAAGGAGTTTGTCAGCAAATGAGTCATCCAACTCTGGCAGATCTCTATAAAATAATTCTTTGCATTCAACCTAAATGGGGAAAAGAGAGTAACATAATACAATTGGATGGTTAATGCAGTTTATACAAAACCTACAGAACTTTTAAACAATTTGTATACTTGTCAATCGACAATGATGCTCTAGAATTTAAATTCTAACCAAGTGGCTATGGAACATAAAGGTTCAAACTGAACCACAAGCAGAAGCTATCATTTGTTTTGCTTATTCAACCTAGTTTGCTAAAATTATTTCTTTTCCAAAAAACTCCCACACACCTCCACTTTTCCATAATTTAAGGTCAGCAAACAACAAAGATTTTTTTTGGGAAAACTTCATCATCAAAATCATGAACATGCAGTTTGGGACACTAATAAGGGGACCAGTTGCATAAAAGCAGGGGGAGAACATATGATATTAAGAGCCTACTAAAACCTCCAGTACTTGGGGGTAGGCACTCAAAGACCACTAACAATAAAGTTGAGGAAATACGCCAAAATTGTACGACAAAAGAACAAAGAGACGTAACTTATTATGTATTTATGTCTCCATTAACTGATTAAATTATTTTCTTTGGGAATACTATATCTTGTTCAAGAGGCGAATTCTTCAAAACAAAAAGGAACTCACAGAAAATTGAGCATGAACACCACGGAGATTTTCTTGTTTCCATGATTCAGGAAATACAAGAGGAAAGGACTTTGTTTCACCTCGTTGAATCCCTATTATTGAATCAAGGAAACCAGGTATCACTTTATCACTGTCCTCTGTATCAAAATGAAAACCTGCAAAGAATGGTTTGAAGTAGCAATGTCAAGGAATCTGAGACTCATGGAAATAGACTGATTAAACAAATTTTAGAAGTGGAACAAACAAAAAACACTTAGAAAATATTTTGACTTTAAGGCAATGGACTCCTCCGGCTAGGCTAGAATGTTCCTCAAGTTTCAGTAAATACTGTTAAAAGCAGAAAAAGAGCACAGCTAAAGTTAAGTGCCAGTAAAAATAAACTGAACTAAAGTAGCATAAAGAGAGGCAACTGGTTTAAACTGGAACGTGATACATGTAATTTATTGTTCACATTTCATCAGTAAAATTATTTCAGTTACCTGGATTAGTAATCAAAAACAAATGCTACTCTTCCCCTGTTGTACCTGGTTATAAACCAGCATAACACAAACCTTCTTTTGACTGCTGCCTTAATATTTTCACAGCAACCTAGTGTCATGTCCTTTTGAATCCAACACAGTTAACTTTTCAGGTCAACGTTCAAAAAATTTAAGTGTATATTTAGAATTAAAGAGATCTCCATTTTTCATCTTTATTTTCACTATTTTGATCTCTCTTTCTCTCACCTTTTTTCCCCCACCAAACCAAAACAACGAACCTTTTTTTCTTTTTTCCTAGAACTGAAAAACTAGAAAGTCCTGTACCAAGTATGTTTTCCAATAAGAATACGAAAGATTTGGAAAACACTTTTCTAAACTTGGAAAATCTTCTTCTTTTGACTGGTGATCGCATGTTCATCCAGTTTTTATTCTCTCAGACAAATTTTAGTTTTCTAAAAATTTTCACAAGACATCTTAAGATATCCATCTTGCCAAGACACTTTATATCATTCAGTTGGAGGATATCCAAGACAAAAGATCCAGAAAAAAGAGTACAGCTTTTTCAACATTCAGGCTGATCCATACCCATTACTTTCTAAAACAATCTGCAAAACACTCAGTCATTATGGTGACACTTATCACTGTATCTTTTCTCCCTTTTATTTTTGTAAGGAATCAATTATCCACGTTGGGTATGAACAATCATGCTCAAGTTCAAACTCATATTCCCTTTGTCCATCTACAAAATTCCAACTTTTAAAGTGTTTATTTATCATACTGCCTAAGTGTCTTTACAAATAAACTATTTTATTCATAATAGGCCTATTAAAAATTTTTTCCTTTTAAAAAAGTGACAGTTCTTTTCCAAACTTATATAATTAGTAGACAATATTTAGGAAGTGGGCACAAATTTTGGGAGATCCTAAAGCAAACAGTGGACTATCAGAACTGGGACCAAAGGAGTATTAACTATTAAGAACTCACACTTCCCAACAGTTAAAGTCCTAATAGTTGTGCCATCAATGTCAAGTTCATGCCCTTATAGATTGATTCTGGGCATGGTTTCTGATAGGAATTGCAAAATCACCAAATATAATAATGACAACAAAGAAAAAAACAAAAACATATTGGCAAACCTTTACTCTCTGCAGCTGGAATATTCTGAACATTTGATTTGTCCTTGTCAATTTTTGTTGCTGAAACATCAAGTACTGCAACATCACCAATCTGTGGGGATCTCAACATAAGTTGTAAACCTCATATGACCAATAGGAAAGATCAAAGAAAGGCAACCTTCTAAATTTAATCAACAAGCTGTAGACCATACAGTGAAAGTTCCTGAAGGGAATATATATATATATATAAACAAAACAAAATGCAAGCATAAAGATCCACAAACTAAAAATAAAAAATAAAATTGGCGGCATATGCGAATACATTAACAGATATTCAACAATTTCTAAACTATAATCTTTTAGTCCAAAAGAACAAGCCTTCCTCTTCCCTTCCTTCCGTTTTCCACATAAAACATTGTTTACCAAAGTCACAGAATTTAAGACCTGATATTGCATGCAGCTTATATCATAGACCCGCTTATTAATATCCTGGATCTTTCCATGAAGCTTCAAATAAACTTTAACTAATAACGAAAGAGAGAGAGAGAGAGAGAGAGAGAGAGAGGGCTATAATTTAATAAAATATCTGTTACCTGTAGTCCTCTATCAGTTACAATTCTCATTGAACCCAAGGATTTGTGGCGCCGTCTTAATTCTTGTTCAGAAGCTCTCCGTGCATCTATCTCATTATCTACTTCAACAACAATCTTCAAATTTTTGTATCCATTCTCAGGGATCCATATGACTTCAGGTGCCACATCAACAACAACATCATATCTGTACCACAAGCCAGCTTAGAGAGCACAAATCATATAGTTGCAATTTTGAAATGCACATACTGCCCAATTTCTTTAAACGAAACACACAAAAAAGGTAGCGAAAGTGAGAGCTGCACGTCTTACTTCTCGGAGAAGCTACCTCAGGTAAGAAGATGCAGGCTATTGATAACATAGAGGATGTATGGGTAACAACAAACCTGAGACAGTTGAGAGAAGAATATGTCTTCTCCATATCGGTGAATTTGGTAACTATTCGCACTGAATCCCTCAGAGCCCTTCCAGTCACCTGTGGATTGAGAGAACAGATCCTCAATAGATTTGCACGGTTCTTAAAAATATAGGAATATCACTGCAACAATTGTATCCATTAAACTGAAATCAACATCTAATTAATTTAATTAATTAGCTGGTTGCATGCATATTGAAAAATAAGATGCAAGTTAAAGTTGAAACAAAATGCAACGAAAAAGAAAAAAGATTAAGTAGTGGTTATTAATTAATTGGAACATACCGAAGACATGGCATGTGGAAGAGTCCTTTTCAAAATAGATTCAACTGTAGCCTTTCGAACATTTTGTTTCCCAACATAACTTAAAAGAATGCTCTCTGGGACATCCTTTCCAGGACGAAATCCAGGCACCTAAGCATACAGAAACAAAACCAATTACTACAAAAAGCAAACAATTCTTATATTTAATATAATCACAAGCTAACAAAATCTATCTTAAAGTGAAAATTTTAAAAATTAAATGCTAATTACAGAACCTTAGCTTGTTTCATGAACTCATTCATGACCCTTCCGTAACAATCTTCACATACAGCTGGTGGAACTTCCACACTCAACCTTATCTGCACATTTAAAATATATAAATATATAGCAAAACAAATAAATAAGGAATGTGCGAATGCGATATTTTAACAAAAGAAAGAAAGAAAGAAAGAAACTGACTCTTGAATTGGACTCTTGGGTTTCAGTGACTTTAATATCGGCAGGAAGGCGATCGTTCTTGGGTCCAACGGCAATTGATGAAGATGAAGCAGAAGGCGGAGACGCAAATTTACGAGGGAATGAAGGGCGTTTCGTTTGGCGGTAAAGCGAAGGAAGCTTTCTGTAATTTGGAAATTGGAGGAATGGGGTTTTGATGGAAAGTGAGTTTTTTGAGAGAAAATGGTGGTTGAGTTCGAGGACAAGGGAAGTGGAGCTGACACTGAGCTCCATGGATATATGTTGCATTCAATTTGCTTTCCTTCCTGGCTGGTTTTTAACGAGATAGAAATATAGATATGGAAGGGTCCACGCTCCAGATGGCAAAATCTCTCTCTCTCTCTCCCTCTAAGTTCTAAAATCAGCCCAACCTCTTAAAATTACTGGTCTAATTAGCTATGTCGGTAATGTTGAGGAGAACCTTATTAAATTAGTTCAAATATTTTAATAAAATTTTGAAAATTCAGGAGAATGATATCAAAATCAATTTATATTAATTTTAGAAAATTTTTTAATTTAATATGTATTTTTTAATATTTAATATATTTTTTTTAACTTAAAGTTTAAATATATTTAATTTTGATAAATAAATAAAAATATAAAATTATATTTATATGACAAAAACATCAAAGTAGAAGAGTCAATTATTGAAAAAAAGTCAGGAATTGACATTGAAAGAGTAATAGTGCAATGTATATTGAAACAATGTTTAATATAGTAAATGAGTCCATAATATTGATTAGAAAACCCCATTATTCTCTGCTTGACTTTGATTTTTTTTTTATCCATATAATTTCGAACATTAAATTGTATTTGTTGAAATCTAATTTTAAATTTACACGAAAAATGATAAGATCAAACAATGAATTATTTGATGTATTTATGCTACCTCAAAAGATTAAGTAATCACATTTCCTAGACATGTTGCAGAATTTTGATCAAATCTGAAGCAAGACATAATCACTCAAAAATTATTAATATAAAATAAAAAATGATAAATTATTAATCTCTTAAATATTTAGAGTATTTTTTTCTTTTAAATGTTAATGTATCAGAAGGAGTAATTTTTTTAAAAGAAAAAAAATTGGTGTTATAAAACTTGTTTTAGTACTATCGTTGAAAAAAATATAAAAACGATAAATCTTAATTTGATTACTTATTAATTATTAAACCTCTATCACTGGCAAAATTTTGATAATTAAACAACAACAACATCATCATTATTATTATGTAAGGTTGCTTGGAGAATCTTTATCTTTGACAATAACAATTAATTTTGATAATAATTTTGGAAAAACAAACAAAAAGAAGAAAATTGTGGGAAATAATCATTAGTTTTTGTAAATAACCATTAATTCTTGGAACAATTTGATTTTGAGTAAATAAAAAAATAAAAAATAAAATCATATTAAAAAGTAAAAAATATTAAAAAGAAAGAAAATCAACCAAAAACATGCACAACCTAGTAATTTGAAGGGGAAAAAAATTCTACAGGCATTGACTTTTTTTCAACCAATATATATTTTAGATTGTAAAACCCTATCATTCAAATTTTTTGATCCACACGACATGTAACATCACATTATTTTTAGTCTTTTTTATATGATATTTGATGAATATAGGAATTTTTTAAACCATCCATATCATATTTTAAAAAATAGTAATAACTAAACTTTATGTCGTTTAAAATAAAATTTAACCGATATACCAACCTAATTTTAGACTTTATTCTATGAAGGTCAAAACAAACTATTTAAAAAAAAAAAAAAAAAAAACAACAACTTGGTTCCATTTATGCACTCAACATGAAATTTTAACTCCTAAAAATCTATTTTTAAAAATTAAAAAATGCGATAAATATTTTTTTATAAAACTTTAAAATCAATTTTTTTTTAAGGAAAAATATAAAAATTTTGAAAAAAAAATCAAAATGTACAAGAAAAAAGAGAAGTAAAGAAACGAGCCTAACGAGGTTGGCTTGTTTATAATGGGCTTAGGGAACTTAGTCTTAGGGGTGTTCGTTTGGGTATTTGGTTCGGTTTTGAAATATTTCAAATGGTTTTTGATTAACCAAATTTTCAAAAAAAAAAAAAAAAACTTAAATGTTATTTTGTTTTTCAATTCAGTTTCGAAATGTTTCGATATTCGGTAATTCGGTTTTTATCTATTTTATTTTATTCTTCAAATGACTGATTCTATTAAAGTTCATGAGATCTCTGTTCAAAGTGGTTTCTTTTCTTTATGGACAACTAGCTAGGAAACTAAGTTGCATTAAAAAAATAGCCAAGGCAATGGTAAATAAACAAATAATAAATTATTCACTAAAAAAAGCTTGAATTTGAGACGATAAAAAATCTATCAATACCTTTGTTATTTTGTGTATATCCGAACTTTTCGCGAGAGATAGAGAGCACATACGAAACTATGGAAGGAAATACATATGGAGGAGAAGGGTTTTTTCAATTTGGGAATAATATGTGCAATGAGTGATCCGACTTTATATATATATATATATATATATATATATATATATATATTAAAAATTTTGATTTTTTTGGTTTAATCAATTTTTTTTAAAAATCGAACCCAAACCTAAAAAATGAAATTATTTTGATTTTGATTTGTTTTTAATTTCTAAAAAACATGAACTAGAATTGATATTTCGATGCGGTTTGATTTACTTATTTTATTTTCATCGAATAGTGAACACCCTTACCTTGTCTCATGTATGCTAGGGCTTGGGAACTTAGGCCCTTTTGTTAGGGCTGGCAGGGCAACTTGCAAGTGGAGACACAAAAATAGAGATAGAGATCTTTCACCTCTACAACTTTCCATGGCCAATTAGAAGTCACCAGTTTTGATATCTAAAATCCAAAATTTTCATCTAAATTGTCTTTGATATGATTCTATAAAAAAAAAATCCCTAAACACCTTATTTCAATTTCAAAACTCATTTTAATGGATAAAAATAAATCAAAAAAATCAAATCAAATCAAATTTCTAAACCTATTTATATTTTTGGACTTTGATTTCTTTTTGCATGCTATGTTAATACTAAAAAAACACCATCAATAAACTCTTCTCACCAAGACAAACTCATGGACACTAATATTGGAATTTTTTTTATGGTTGAAACCAAGATGGAGAGAGTTTTCTCTTTCCTCCATATCTTTTTGCTTCTCTCTCTCTCTCTCGGTTTCCAAAGACTATATTGCAAGACAAATGAATTTTCAACACTAGTCCACGCAAACCTTAAACATCAAGAGGCAAAGTGAATATATATTTTTTAAAAATCACCTTTTGTTTTTGTGAAAACGATATTGTTTCACATTAAAAGCATCCAAAAGGATATACTTTTAATCCTAATGAATATTATATAACGAGTGTTTTATTAGTTTTTTTTAACCGAGTATTACGTTGCGAGTTGGATAAAATACATAACATTATTTTTAAAAAATTATTTCGTTTTAATGTCTCATATTATATTATGTGTTTACCAAAATATATCAAATCAAAACCGAATAAAAATTCATTCAATTTTATCATTTTTTAAAAAAATTGTATTTGATTAATTAATCTTTATATTTTCATAAATTTTTTATTAAAAAAATATTATTTATTTATCTCTATCTATATTTTTAGGTCAAAACTTATTTTGAAAATTATTTTTTTCTAAACATCTTTATGTTAATACTAAAAAAAAACACCATCAATAAACTCTTCTCACCAAGACAAACTCATGGACACTAATATTGGAATATTTTTATGGTTGAAACCAAGATGGAGAGAGTTTTCTCTTTCCTCCATATCTTTTTGCTTCTCTCTCTCTCGGTTTCCAAAGACTATGTTGCAAGACAAATGAATTTTCGACACTAGTCCACACGAACCTTAAACATCAAGAGGCAAAGTGAATATATATTTTTTTAAAATCTCCTTTTGTTTTTGTGAAAACGATATTTTTTCACATTAAAAGCATCCAAAAGGATATACTTGTAATCCTAATGAATATTACATAACGAGTGTTTTACTAGTTTTTTTTAACTTCGTATTATGTCTGCGAGTTGGATAAAATACATAAAATTATTTTTAAAAAATTATTTCGTTTTAATGTCTCATGTTATATTATGTGTTTACCAAAATATATTAAATCAAAACTGAATAAAAATTCATTCAATTTTATCATTTTTTAAAAAAATTTTATTTGATTAATTAATCTTTATATTTTCATAAATTTTTTGTTAAAAAATATTATTTATTTATCTCTATCTACATTCTTAGGTCAAAACTTATTTTGAAAATTATTTTTTTCTAAACATCTTTTTGCCTTAAAATTTTTAATTAAAAAATTGGAGGAAAAAAAAGTAAAGACCAAAGTGACCAAAATGAAACAAAAAAGTGAGATCAAAATCAAATAAAAAATATTTACGGACTAAAAAAATAATATTTAAAAAAAAGGACAAAGTATAATGTTATAAAAACATTTATAATAAATGCCTTAAAAATGTTTAAAAGCTACAAAAATATCATCGCATAGTAAAAGAAATAATGTATCTAATTTTGGATGAATAGTATAAATGAGGTTAAATGAATAATATGTGGAATAGTGCAATAAATGGTAAACTTATGTTTTGCTTTAATTTTTTTTTTTAATAATATAATGATCAATGTAACTAAGTTGGAGGCTATATTGTTTTTACAATGAAAAACCATTCTCTTTTAGTTCTTTTTGTTAATTCTTAATAATAACTAGTCATAATCTCATTTGTGGGTCGAGTTTAATAGGATAAATATATAACACTCCCTATATCTATCTTTAAAAAAAAACTATGTTTTCTTTTTTAATTATATCATAAATGCATGTTTATCACCCAAAAGTGGAATATGAATGGTTTCAATTTTCAATTTTCTCCTTCAATAAAAATTGAATTCAAATGCTTTTTTCTTACAATTGTTTCGAACTTAAAAGTACAACATAGCACCTTATTGAATTCAGTTCGGTTTTTAGCAAATTCGAACCCCAACCAAGCAATTCAGTTTTCATATTTAGGTTTTATTTTTTAGAATTTCAGTTTTAATCAAATTTAATAAATAAAAAAACAAGAGTAAGAAGTTGAAAGACTAAATTCTACCAACTTTTAAACTTCGTGGCCTTCACAACCAAAGCCCATTATACTTGCCACTCTAAAAACGAAGGCCAATTTATAACACATTCCAAGTCTTACAAGCAAGTTGCT